AATGCACATTGTCTAGTTTGGCAGAATGATTGAAAAAGTGCACTTGTTTCATCACATTAGCAAAAGTTGCCTCAGCTTCTTTCTCAAACAAACTCTGATACCTTTTTACCTCATTAACCAAGAAGGCCTTCTCATCGGCCCAGGAATCAGCGTTTCCTTCCAGCTCCAAAACGCGCTTGGACAGATCATTCTTCTCTGCCTCCAATCCCTTGTTGGAGGTCGTCAGGATCTTAAGGGCGCTATCTTTTTTCTCCATATCAGTCTTCATTTTGGCTACCTCCTCTTCAGACTTCTTCAATTTAGCCTCAAAATTAGCGCGTTGTTGAGCATTTTCACCCGTCAGCGCATCAATTCGCTCCTTCAGGAAGTCCATCGAACCTGTTACATATTAAAAAGCAGTAAGTACAAGCACAATATCATATCATATAAACAGTAAAATATCAAGGTAATTACCAGATGCGGACATAAGGAATTGACCCGCTATGCTCAAACTCTGGGAAACCTGTAGCCATTGGTCTCGAGGTAGCGCTTCAAGACGAGCGCCAAATCCTCTGCCATGAGTGCGCATATCATGGTCCAACCTCCAACCAAAGTCTGGCCACCCTGTAGTAGACCCCCCGGTCATCTCCTCAAGGGATCTTTTCTTACCCCTCGCGGTATCCTCCACCACTAGCACAGGAGGGATGACATCTAGCAGGGCAGTAGGAGGAGTTAAGGACTTCAATGGAGACTTCAACTGCACAGCAGCATGCTCGCTTGACTCATGCAACAGCGGCGACCAAAGACATGGACGGTTGGGGAGATTTTGAGGCACCCGCAATAGCAGGAGCACGATTGGCAGCAATCTGTTCCATTCTACTTAAAGATGTCGTCATCGCACTATCTGCAAATCAGAACAAAGAATGACATGATTAAAAAACACTTCCAACATATCTACACATCGCGATATGACTCAGGTACCTTGATTAAAACATTTATAAAGTGAGTAAGGGTCCAAGTTACCCAGATAAGCTCGAATATCATCCTCGGAGTACTCATTTAAAATCGTGAACGTACTTAGCGAGCCCGTATCAAAAGCCTCGCAAGCAATGTTACCTAAAGTGGTCACCGTCTTTTGTTCTACATCACTCAAATCAATAAAGTTATAGCCCAAGACAGCACTTTCAATTGAATACTCTGACCAATACAATGGAGAGATAGGAGTCCCATCATCCCCTATGAAAAAGGGTTTGGTACCTTCAGCGGGGTAAATCTTGAAATATTATGTGCTCCACTTATTAATTTTTCTAGAATACGACTCAAAGAATTTTACTTTGCTCCTAAACGATATCCAACTATTACGAGGCTCCATTACACTGAACATGTACAAGAATGATTGTACAGATTGGAACAGACTATAGGCCTTGCAAACCATCTCGTACACTCTGATAAAACCCCAGGCATTGGGGGTCAGCTGTGAAGGCGCCACATTCAAGTGCGCCAGTAGTTTACAAACAAAAGAAGAAAAAGGAAAACGAACTCCTATACACAAAAAGAAGTAGGAATACATCATCATAAAGTGCCTGACTGATCCCTCTGCCCGCGATGAGCAAACACGCTCATTCTTCGGGACGACACCAATCTCCCATTGATCATCAAAAGCTTTATCAGGAATAAGGTGCAGAGCTGCTGTTACCTCCGTTAACTATCCTGGAGAGCACAATACAGACTCAGTATCCAATACTGTATCTGCCACCCAACTAAGGGAATCTTCAACCCGTAAATTTTGTTTCACCGGAGACTCTTCATCAGGGTCAATGCGTAAGACTTTCTTCTTCGCGTCAGATTGCGTTTTCAGTTTCTTCTTCTCATGCGTGCCGCGTCTTTCCATAATTTCCTTGATTTGGGGAGACACAAAATCTGATTCAGAAGAAGAAGAATCAGTTGAAGAAGACAAGTCAGAAGAAGCAGGTTTATAATAATCAAAATTCCTTTTCTTAAAAGGATACCCAGCTGGATAAATTACCTTTAAAGGCAAAGGCTTAGGGCTTTTCTGGCCAAAAGACTCGTGCGCGATGGAACACGAAGAATCGCGCGATGAATTTAAGGAAGGTGATTTAGGGCTTCTTGAATCAGCTGACTTTTAACTGCCCTCAGTACTCGACGACGAGTCACTCGATATCTCGATAGGCTTAGACATGTTCAGAGAAATCTTGGGAAACACAGACGAACTATGTTGAGACAATATCTTTTCGCGATTAGATTATCGCGATGATGACCCTAGTTAACGTACGGACTGAGGGGACATGACTAGCATACGCTTTGGAACAGGGGGCTATATATCCTACAGTAGGCCGCTTATCCCTGGTTTCCAAAGACCTTGATCTTGATAACAATCTCGACGGAGGACTAGACGAACCAGACCGATCAAAAAATCTAATAAAATCCGCACATTTACGACTATCAGACATACCTCAAACACGAGGAAGAAAAGGCTAAATAAGAAGAAAGAAACACAGGTAAAATCAGGTGGAAGAACATACCTGAGATTTATACTTCGGAAATGCACACCACGAGCAGGACGTGTCACCACCGGAAATGCAGAAGAAAAAAGCACTGAGAGACGAAAGATTTTCCACAGTATCAACAAAGTGTTTTTTTCCTCCAAACTAAAAGGCTCAGCACAAATACGAAAGGTTTCTCTTCAACAGATAGACCGAAAGCCACGAAACGTGTTGAGCAAAATGGGTTAACAGGGACACGTGGCGGGGAGAGGAAGCATTTTATTTACAAAACCACCCACGCTTGTCCTTAAACCCCCACGTAATCACAATAGCATTTAATGCTTCTGACTGATTAGAAGTCTAATCCTCCGTTCTTAAGCGGTTGAAGGTCATGATGACATTACAAACATAATCACTGCGGCACACAAAAGAGAAAATACGAAAAACAAACTACTGCGCCTCAAAAAGCAGCATATAGCTCGCAGCCTTGCCACACGACAAAACCGCAAGCTAGGGGGCTACTGATCCGGATAAAATATAGGCCCAACCAGGGCCCAAAAACAAATAGGGAAGCCCAGGCCCATTGAAGACCATAAGCAAAGCGCAAAGAACAAACACAGACACGATGCCCTCATCGCGACACACAGATGCGATGCCCTCATCGCGACACACAAGACGCGATACCCACATCGCGTATGAAACCTTCTATAGGAAGTAAACTTAAGGCCCAAGGCAGCTCCACCGCGCCTTAACTCCAGTAAACAACGGACAACTCCAGCTTGCCACAACTCTACTACTAGACACTATGGAAGATAAGGCTACTCAGGTCCCCTGACTGACCTGCAGCCCAAAGCTAGCCACTCAGAAGCCAAGCCGCCTTAACTAAGGTGGCATCTTAACTACTATATAAGCAAACGATATACCACCAAGGTACAATCATCTTTACTTAATCAACACAAAAACACCTGCCTCTGATACTGACTTAAGCATCGAAGTGTCTTCGTAGGTACCCCCTTCCCATTTGGTGCAACATGCCAACGAGAAGGACAAAGCTCAAACACTCTCCAACAGCAATACCAGGCCCAGGCCACTAATAACGTAAGCTCATTCAACCGTGTGTGATTGAGCTCGATACATATAGGCCAGTCCATACTGTATTTGGTCTGATCAATACCCTTTCCCACCTCATTCTTTTCGTTTTGTAGGATCATTAACTCAACCAATTTCATTTTGATATTACTATTTTCCCTCACGAGAGGAAGGTTGCCATGTCTATTTTGAGTGTTTCTGTTTGAAGTTCCAAACAATTCCCATGTCTAGCTTGCGAGGACTTAATTTAATTGAATATGGTCAAACTAGGTTGCTGTTTTTTTGTAATTTTTTACTTTGGGTACAAAAATGTTTGGGGTGATGACAAGATCTTTAACCTCAGCAGTTAGTAAATATAGCCAGTGGAAGCACGTAGAGAACTCTAGATTAATGGAACCCAAGTCAGCAGTTAAGCTATTGTGGACACAAAATGAAACCAATTATTTATGTTCTCTCTGATCAATGTTCCCAACAAGTGTTTATAATAAAGGCAATCACCGATTGCAACCTCACATAATTCCAAAAATGTTGACTTTAAAGCTTGCGAGCCCCCATGGCCCAACCTCACCTTGTCTATCCAAAACCAAAAAAAAAACAAAACAAAACAAAATTTTCAAACGTAGCCACAGCCTAAATAGGCCAATTTTGTTTTCTTTTACCTCCCCCCGAATATGATAGATCTTACTTAGGTGTGTCAAATCACAAGTGCATGATAGCCCAAGGAAGGATTAATCCAAGACTGTCGTGTTTGTTTTAAAACAGAAGCTTCTAGAGGACAAAAATCAGCATGACGGTGAAAAGGTTTGGCTTACATTTTTGGGTCCCCAACTTCCCCTGTTATTGCTCCACTTTTTTTGGTGCAGTAGACACAAAAAAAGTGGATACCATCAGCTTTTTATAAAAAAAATAAAAAAAAAATTTAAGATCCGCATGCATATCCTAATTTTTTCTGTGTTATTGCAAAAAAAAATTCTGCAGCGGCGACAGCAGAGATATAAAAGTATATGTTTTTACCTATAATAGTTTTGTTCAGCATTTCAAATGGAAGATTAATCATGTTTTTCGTTTCTCAATCAATAAAATTAAGAGATACTCAAAACAAATAAATTAGAAAATTTCTGTGTCACAGAAGATTATTCCCCTCATTGCAAAATGAACTTCATATAGGGCTATGAAGAGGACAATACAGCTTAACCACAAACAAGATAAACTGTGTCACCATTTATCCATTTGGTTTTTAACAAAAGTCTGTCGAATTTTGTGGAAACCGTTTGTACTCTATTGAAGGAACCAAAACACCATCAACTGCAACTACAGTTTAACATTAACACATGAACTGCACTCCAAACAAACAAACAAAAGCTCAAGCCAAAAAAAAAAAAAAAAAAAAAAAAACCTCCATTAAACCCTAATTAGTGAGCATAGGGGTGAGGGAAATCCTTGCAAGTAGTCTTTATCTTTACATATTTGCGAGTCATGCCTTTTCAGTGACAATGTAGCGGCTTCTCTTGTGGGGTTTTTCTTTTCTCTCTGTCTCTCTCAAAGAGCGTATGAGGTTGATTTGGTCATTTCAATAAAATCATGTGGCCCCAGATGACTCTGATCAACAGCAAAGGGAAGCTTCTTCCTCAAATCTTCCAAGCAAAAGATGAACTGCCGTTGCAATGTCATCTACTGAACCAAGTTCAAATCCTTCTTCAACCTTCATTAAAACAATGCCCACATTTCAGCTAAAGAATCTTTCTAAATCTTCATAATTTTAAACAAATAGAATATTCATTCTGCCAAATTTATTATATAATGAATATAACTATAGAAGTGACACAGTATTTTCTAATTCACATTGATAGTTACATACCTTGGCACTGATAGAATAGAATACCAAAGGGTCCATTGTAGTAACATTGAGATGTAGGATGGTAAGGTGGAGTGTTTGAAAACCAGTAACCAACTTTGTTAGCTGCCCGGGGCTTCTTCTAGTGAGTACTCGAAGGTTTGCATGGGTCTCGATTAAAGTAACCTCGATATCAGCTATTGCAGCCTTGGTCTTGGATGTGTATTTGTTAGGAGTCTGGGACCATGTGTATTGAGGATACATGAAAAATTGCGCAAAAGGGGGTCTCATGAGTTTTGAAATGGCCGTATCTTCATTGGTTTGTGCCATTTCTTGCTGTAAAAGTTGCAGCTTTCTAGCTTCAAGTGACTGCAAGAGGTACTCCAGATCCTTTACAAATTCTATTGCACCACCCACTATAGAGGCCTGATCACCCTGAAACATTTAAAATTTGCATATTTAACCATTAGTTGCATTGAGAAGAGGTAACAGAACATTTATATATATTTTTTATTTATTAAGTGGCTGTAAGTGTAAAGAACCTTGGGATACACCACCCCAAAAGCTAGCTCAAAGGGTGGGAGTGTCCAAGGCCTTATAAAGGCCATATTAGTTGCCCATCCAATCAATGTGAGACTATATATCTCAACACGCTCCCTCACGCAAGAGTCCTTTAGGCTATAAGCGTGGAAATTGCACATGCTCATTTTTTGTTTACATTTTTGTGCTTTTTTTTATTTTTATTTTTAATTCCATTTTAAAGCGGGGGACGGTGAGGCTCTGATACCATGTAAAGAACCTTGGGATACACCACCCCAAAAGCTAGCTCAAAGGGTGGGAGTGCCCAAGGCCTTATAAAGGCCATATTAGTTGTCTATCCAATCAATGTGAGACTATATATCTTAACAGTGAGTATGTATGTAAAAGCATGTCTGATTTCAAAGTTTCAATCATTTGGCAACAAATGAAGAGGATTATAATTTAGGCTTAGTTGTGCTTTCATTCTCATAAAGTTCTGAATATGCTAGTGTCACTTCAGCTTTGTCCTGCTTAGCATTTTAGTGAAAAGAGAATCTCATATCTGCTATTTGGGACTATAACATATTTGTGAATTGTGAAAAATGCCAACTAAATTATTTATGAGAAAGAAAGAGAGATAGAGACTGAAAAAGAAGGAAGGATGAAAGTCAAAACCCTTTGGACATAGTTCTCAGGTGTGAGTGAACGAAGAACAGCAAAATGCTCATTCATCTGCTTCCTGCGGTTTCTTTCTACTGTAATGTGTGTCATTCTTTGTGTCTCAGATTCTTCCTTGCTTTTGCAAACCCTTGGCTTCCTTCTCCTCTTCTTCCTCCCTTGCACCGTGAGATTCTGCCTTTTGCCAATGGTTTCTGGCTCACTGGATTGGCGTTTTCGGGTCCTCGGAGCACAGTTATAAAATGCAGGGTCATGTTCCTGATTGTTCACTATATTCTGATCTAACAAGAAACTAGCCGCTAAAGAGACGTGGCTGCTAAATGGAGTAGCAGAGATGGTGTCATAGATAATGAAGTTGGAAAACTCATTGGATGAAGGAGTTTCCAAAGCCATTACTCTCCTCAATGAACTTTGTCTAAATTCTCTTCCTCTTGAGAGAACTAAAACACCACAAGAGCCTTCATGGAATCATGGGTTTCTATTAGAACATGACATCAATTTATAGCAAATCCCACTATCCCAGTTGAGGCAGTTTGAGTCACAGAGGAAGAGAAAGCTGAATGTTGAATATTAAAAAAAAAAAGAGTAATTTAGATTAGAGGATACGCAGCACGTGAGAGAGGCAGAAAAGGCCTTGTGCTTTTCAGGAATCAGAAAGGTGTATTAAAAGGAAACAGGTTCCTCAGTCATCCTTGCTTTGGTTCCCTTCCCAATTCTATAGATGATGTCAAAGACTGGCACAGCTTATGCCAATGGAAGAGTACGGTGGGGGACCCAAATCTATATAGAAATATGCATACAAACAATATTACAAGCTGTGCAATATCTACTACTCACATTCAAATCTGTGTTGGGATTTGAAAGAAATGAATGGCACACGTACCCGAGATTCCCATATAAATAATTTACACAAAGACTATAGCATCTATTTGACACAATCCATGGTACAACATTCTACACGTCAAAACCATATCAACGTTTTGTTGTTGCTCTAAGACCTACGGTACAGATTAATCCATGTACATCAACCTAATCAACGGAATACTTACCTTGTTGGCAGTTCATAAAATCTCGAGAGTTAATTAGAACTTCATTATTATTAACGACTTTATATCTTCAAGCTGTGAAGTTCCCGTTTTTAATTTATTGTAAAAGGCATCTAGGTACTCACTGTGATGCCAAACTGATTTGAAAACTGACTACGGCCAGGACCACAAGATACTTGACAAGGAAAGTCTTTCAAGTCACCGTTTCAAATACTTGAGATCACACACGAGTAAACGTAACTAGTAAAATACAGCATAGTTGGCGTAGAAGTTTATACTAACTGCTACATTAATATAAATATTAACATTGATGTGGTGTTCTTGTGTGTATTAGCTACGCCTCGGGGTTCATGTGTGAAAGGAAGATATTACAAACACCAGAACTTTAGCCTTATGTGCTGATGACGACACACCAAAGGGCAGAAGTGGAGCTTGGAGCGTGGTCCAAGCTGTCAGAACCTGGGTTACCATGTGACTGTAAGCTCCCCTTCTCGAAAAAGTACATAACTACAGGTCTGCTTCACTAAAGCTACATCCAAATCACCATAATTTATTTCTAACTTTTCTTTCCCCCATTCTATATATATTGCCTAGAAGATTTATGCTTCTTTTTTTACCTCCCTCTACTGTTTCACTGCGCAATTATATATAAAAACTACTTAAGAGATGCAACACCAAGAATGAATTAAAAATGAAGTATAGCAAACACACAAAGAGACTGCAGTATGAGTTGAAAGTCGCATTGCATTTGATCCGAGTGTTCAAGCAGTACCCTTGCTGAGATAGCATAAAATTGCATGAGCAGGAAAATGGGTGTCCTTTTTTTTTTTTGTCAACGAAATGGCTGTAATAAAAATCAAGATTCATAAAGATGAGCTTTGTCCAGTCTTGCGTCATTGCTGAACAGGGAATAATATAAAATCTTTGCCTGTATTTAATCACAAATCGAGGTCGAGGAAATAGAATTGTAGCCCAGAGCTTCATACATGTCTACATTTTACTACCACCAACCATAATTGCCACATGAGTTTTATAGTAAATTCAACTGATGATTAACAAAAAGATATCTTATTTTATAACAAATAATAACACTAATAGAACAGACTACAGCGTAAAAAATGGCTGCATCACCAAAACTTTAACTTCATACCAAAATAATCTGCAATTCCAATCACAACTGATAAAACATAAGCATAGACAAGCAAGATAAAAAGGGCTGTGATTGATGATGCAGAGAGGGTATCGACAGACAAGTTTACCAATCCCGTGAGGATATTTCCCTGCACACAAAGTATTTGAAAAAAATTATAAATGAAATCTACAGAGGAAAAGCACATATGATTGTAACTTAATATCTTGTTCACCAGAAGAAAGGTAGCCAGTAAGTTCCGATTAAATGCTTCTTCAAGTAATGAAGTTTTACTTCCAGGAATAAGATCGCCCAGCATTAGGATTGATAACAGCTGAAAAATGGGTGACATTCAGATTAATATTCAAACCAAATCCATAATCAGATTACAATGTCAGTGATGACTCAAGAATGCCATGCTGTGAAATTAGGAACATGAAGTCCATATTGCTGCATTTGGTGTGCCAGATTAGTTCAAAAAGATACAATTGCATAAATATAATTTAAACACTAACAGTCAAGAAAAAAAAAACCCGGCAACCACAACACAAGCTACAAAGTGAACATGCCCCATCACACTATGTTAGACACTGATCAAATGAATAGAACCAAAGTGAGAATAACCTGTAGATTGTCAGCCAATACCATAGTAACATATGGCAGGTTGCACTGCACAAAGTATCAACAATTAGTTGTCATCCATTGATGCCAAAAGAATATCCTTCTAATGAAGAAACAATAACAAAGTGAGACATACCGTTCTCCGTGAAACTCTTTCCACGTGCCTGTCTAGAAGCACAGTTAAAAACCTGATACATCATGAAAAGGGAAAAGTTCAAAGCAGTAGAATTGAATCAAAAGGATAATCAAGTTCCGGATTAATCTTTACCAAAACAGTATGGAGAGAACCAAGACCCTCATCAGAACCCATCTGCTACTTCTATATATAAGGTAGTTTCCCAAATAAACACCTACAAGATACATTCCCCAGTATCCTGGTGCAAAAAGAGATTGACCAAATATTATATATCAGAAGTAAAATGGTTGGAAAAACTTCCCAGTGAAATTACAGCCATAGCATCAAGATTGAACAATTCTCACCAAATATGCTAAAAATCCCCTCCTTGTTTTGACTTATGATATCCATTCCTCTTTCATTTGAAAGCAAGTAATGATTTAAACCATGCATCAAGCAGAACTGGTACACTTGGGAACAGAAATTAAATTTTATAAGAAAATCAGATTTCGAAAGACAAGACATAAGGATAAGACAAAAATATAAATGTACCTACTAGGACAAGTGAACCCAAAACTCCAAAATATTGAGGGGGGATATTAATAAAGGAAGTGAGGATTGACACAGCAGCAAGTGTGAAGAAGAAATTCCAATGTACACCATATTCACCCACATGTACCTATAAGAAGGAAACTGGCTTCCTTGAGAATGTCTTGAATTAGACACTATAACTAACAAATTGTAAATAGGCAAAACTGCATAGCAGTAACTATTGTAACTAAAAACAATCACGAGAAGTATAAAAGATTATTGGTTTCCTTAAGAATATCTTGAACTAAAAAAATTAGACAATTACAATTCACAATTCTATAAATAGGCAAAAATGCATAGCGGTGGCTAGGGGTGTAAGTGCGTCAGACCGGCTTACAGGGACCTATGATCTGGCCTATATCAGGTCAGGCTCGACCTATTACATATAATCAAATAGAACGGGCCTAGGCTTTTAAAAAAATTTATTTAGAAAGCATGCCATAAACTTTTTTCATATGTCGGGCCTATAAACCTACAAGTCAGCCTATATCATATTATTTATTTTAAATTAAATAAAATAATATTATTCATAGTAGTACCAAATGATGATAGTTCAGTTGGTGTGAGCTGAGTAGGTGGTGGAAGGACCTAAGTTCGATCCCCACCAATACTACCTTTGGGAGTGACATAAGATTTGTACCAATCTCTATAGTAGCATTAGAATCAACATTTAGTGTTGGAAGAAGAGTTATTGATGCTTATCGTTCTAGTTTGGCTGAAGATACCATCCATGCTTTAATATATGGTGGAAATTGACTACGTAATATGTATGGTTTGAAGAAAAAACAAAACGTTTATAAAAAGATTTTTTGTTTTTAATCTTTTTTTTTCTTTCTATTCTTTAATCTTGTTTTTTGTTTTTTACATTTGCAAATTGTTTGCCAACTTATGTAATTTTGGAATTGTATTTGCAGGGGAGATAAGATGATAAGTTTTTGGCTACTACAAGAGCATCTGATGTATTTGTTGGATTCATGCAGTTATTTTAATTTACATAGTACGGATTTATTTGTTGAATCTGATGAAATATATGTTGTTTAGTTTGGGCATCTTGCTTTTGAAAGTGACTTGAATGCAGATTGTGATAAGTTGTTGTGATTCATGGTTTTGTTTAAATATTGAAATTGTGGTTTTTGTTTTAACAACAGAATTTGAGTATTTTGTGAAGTTGATTCATGTTCTGCTTGGAAGTTAAAAATTAATAGGCTAACGGGCCAGGCCAGACTAACAGTTAGACTCGTATTATGCTATCGGGCCGGATCAAATTAAAAAAAATTTAACATAGGCTTGAGCTTTTTGGGACAAAACTCGGCACAGTTCAGTCCACTTTCACCCCTAGCGATAACCATTTAAATTAAAACCAATCACGAGCACCGCTGCGTTAGTACTTTCTTTAATTAATATTTTTATATTACAAGAACAGATTCCATGAAACAACTTTATTAAAGCATACTTTAGCTTTCCACCAATAACTAGGGTGAGGAGTAATAAAGAAATGAAATAATGCTGCACAGTACAATCAAGATCAAATTCCATTCACATGCCAAGTGAATTGGTTTCCCAAAATACGCATTATTCACCCTAACATGAATGGCATCAGGGTCGGACTTTATACAATTCCGGCGGTTGATATAAGACATACACTGCCCAAAAGATTATTACCTTCAGTCTGCTGTAGACTAGATCATATTACTTTCAAGTTTCAAAAATATATAGGTACTAGCCTTATTAAAGCTTAAATAAGATGCAGTATTTTCAAATGCATTTTGATGAGTTTTTGTTGCCGCTTAAGAATTTCTAAGAATCCCAATGAAAATAATCCCACCTGATAATCCACACCAGTTGTTGTAATAAGACGAAGAAATCCTAAGATGATCAGTGGACTAATTGAAATTATTGCAGTCTTCCAGTTTCTGAATTATGAGAAAAAATGATATTATCAGAGGAATACAAAACGTGGTATATCTGTGCAAGTTCATTCAAAAAGACATCAATGTCATTATAGAGCAGGTAAATAGAATTAGGAAAGAAGCAACTTAATTTTCAAAACCCTGTCAGCATGTTTATGTTGTTAAAATTGCTTCTTTGCCAATTGTATGAGCTTGTCACAAAAGCTTCCTAACTCATTCAAGTAACACAACTTATAATTTATCAAAAGAAAAAATACATTTCTACATCTAGGGAAGTATAAATTCTTGCATTTTGGTAAACAAACATACACAAAATTAACTTAAAAGAGTTCATTTTGAGTTAAGAATCACATTGAAGTCAGAAGATACTAGATAGGGTAGCATTGAAAGACTCACACAGATGTGATATTTCGGGCATGCCGAGAAACTAATGAATTCGCTAAAACAAATGCTCCAACTCCAAGATCCATCTGGAATGCAAAAGAATCTCAAATTTCAACAGAACAATCAAATTATTGACTAATGGTTGTTAGCAACATTACAAAAAGAAATCGATGCACTAGCAGATGAGAACGAAATAAATAATTGAAGAGAGAGAGAGAGAGAGACCAGAATCTGTGACTTCACATAATCCATGAATGGAAGAGAAATAATTTATAAATTGAATAAAAATCTGTTTCTCTCCAACCCCCAGCTCAAAAATATAAAATAAAATCCTGTTCTGTGCATTTACTTGTTTATCACCCAAGTGATAAGAAATAGTATAAGCATTTATGAAAAGAAGTGACTATAGCGGAGGACAAGAAATCCTACTTTGTCAAAACAAAATATACAAAGAAGAATGTACCAAAAATATATATATATATATATATATACAAAGAAAAAAGGGAAAATACATAGGTCAAAAGAGGTCTCCAATCCTTTCGCAGATCAGACAAAGTGAACTCGCTAATGAAACCATGGACTGGATTCTATAGAGAAGACAATCCTATCGCAAATAATATGCTTTAATAAAAATCTGTGCTTACAGACTCTGGCATTACCATCTAAGTTCAAGCCAAGAAATTTGTAACACCCCCCCCCCCCCCCCCCCCTTTCCTTTCCCCTTGACTTGTAACAAGCTTTTACAACCTTTGAAACCACGATCTTTTCATTGCGAAACAGAAATATACTATGAGAAATTATCATAAATCATATTATTTTTTAAACTTAAAATACATCCATGACAGAGGAATATGACTCAAACTACTTTGAAAGTTAATCAATGACTTCCGTTGTAGGAAAAGTGTTGGATTAGGAAGCATATAAAACATTTTATATGAAATCTCCTTTACAACATTCTTTTTTGTAAGACATGTCCTTCATTCTTTTTCCTATCCGGAACTGCAGAAGAATCATACCAAACTAGTTCCATAAGTTTCAGTCTTTGCATATCTTCTAGGAAATATTCTGAAGTCAACAGCCAAGATGCACAAGAATGTTATAATCATCTGCAAAATTCATTTTCATCAACATAATAACAGAGTAAGATCAGCATAATGGAAAAAGAATTCTACAGTCGCACTTCATACCACAACAACCCTGTACGAAGTAACATAAGCCCGAAGAGAATTGGGCTCTCCTTCAAAAGAAAGAGATGAACCACCAGACCTGTAGGAAAGGGTATGGAAGTCAAAATTAGGCTTATGCATAAAACTTTTGGCCTTATTTATTTATTTCATAAAATTCTGTGTCCTTGAGGAAGTCAGCTAAACAAATTGCACAATTACCTCTTGGCTGCAATATAAAGTAATGTTACGATTGTGAACAAACTAGCCAAGATATACGTCCAGTCTGCAAGTACCTGTCATCAAGTTCATTGTAGCAACAACAAAATAAAATGACTGGAATTAAATTCAAAAGCCAGTTATTAAGATAGTTTCATTTCAACAAGCTACATTACATAAGCCCACCCCACCCCCTAACCCAAAATAAATAAATAAATAAAAGAAAGGACTTTCAAGACCGACATTTTCTATTTGTTAGCAAAACATGTAGTTCTACTGGAGAACACTTACAGTGAAAAATAAAAGCATAGGAACAATAATGACTAGAAAATCCAAAGACAATGTAGCTAGGTATGCTTTGAAACTCCTATTCACAGAAACTGCATCGTCGTTTTTCTTCTTCAGGGAGGCACCTGTAATTTAAAAAAAAAAAAATGATAAACAAATAAAAAGAAAGATATTCAAGCAAAAAGAAACATGTTATCTACATCCCGTATGATGATAAACTTTAAACTGAGCGTGCACTGAAGCCAAAAACAGAATCACAGACCAGAAGTAATTAAACCATAATGATTAAATTAAAAGCACGCAGAATTATAGTGAAATATAGCAATTGAGCATAACTAAAATCGGGTTTGGATATCAATGAACTAACGAAAATATTGAAAAAATAAATAAATAAAAATAATTAGATTTGAAAGTACCAAAATTGAAGTATTAGAAGGGACTGACCAGTTATGGACTTGGAGGATATGGAGTGACGAATAAGGACAAGAATCTGTAAGGGGAACAGAAAACAAGCATGATCACATTACATTTGAGTTATTGCTATGAAGATAAAGTGGTGTGTGTGCACATTGCAGGGTGACTCACAGGGATAATTACTGTAAGCGCCGCGATTTCCAGCATCGAGGATCCGCTCAAATTGCTCACGAATCTGTAACATTAAGATAAAAAGGAAAGTGGGGATTAATAAATGAAGAATTGAAGAAAGCATTGGTTAGGAAGGAAGGAGTGGAAGAGAGTAACTCTTCTTTGAGATGCTTGTTGGGGTTGAAGGAGGATTTAGGTAGAGAAGGATCCATGGTTGAAGTGCAACGGTCAACTTGGGCGAAAAGATTGAGCTATCACAGAAATTGGGCTCGCGAACGGATAACAATATCAAACCCAGTTCAAACTGATTCCCCACATAGTTGCAGTAGACACTGCCATCCCTTTTCTTTCTCCTGCGGAAATGACATGTATAGGCTATAGAATTACGGATCGGATTTATTTTGACATGGATCGGGTTCATTAAATTGGTCGGGTTTTTTAAATTGGTCGGGTTTCCGGATCTGTAATTAACCCGAGTCACCGTTCGTTTGTCAGCCTCACATTCATAGCCATAGAACGTGTAACGCCTCATCTCGATTTATAACACCTCGCATAATTAAATTATAATAGAGTAAATATTTTTTTTGATTCTCAGTAAATTTCACGATACCCGCTTTAGTCTTTAGCAAATAAAATGGTTCATCGTGGTCCCTAAGAAATTCAAAATGGACTCATTTTAGTCCTTTTAGGGACTAATATGGGTCTTTTCTGAATTTGTGAGGGACCACGATTTCAACTAAATGGGTCCATTTTGAATTTTTTAGAGACCACAATGGACCTCTTTATTTGCTAGGAACTAATGCGGGCATCGAAAAATTTGCTGAGGACTAAAAAGGATATTTACTCATTATATTATTGAGAGTTAAATTATGACTTAGAAAAATTAATTAGTGAAAATCTTACTATTTGGGTCAAAATTCCATTAAAGGAAAAATGGTAATTTGACAAATACATAACTCTAACATGTGAAGTGATAGAATTAGACATTAATTGATGGAAATAATGATGGAAACGGATTTTGAACGAAATTTAGAGTGCACAGACACTTTTTGAAAAAATTGATGAATAGTGAATTTTGTCGGGTAAAATACTGGTACAATTCTACCGAGAAAAATCCAGAAATGAGATAATTGTTATAAAATTAAATATATGCTAAAAGAGACATTTAGAACCAAGAAAATGATTTTGGGAATTAATTAGAGTCAGATTACAAATTTGATAATTTCTTGGGAAACGTGCCGATAGTGAAAATACTGCGATGAAAGTGAAACTACACAAAACTACCCGAAAAATTTTAGATTGGTCTAGTGTGAGACTAATAATGGACATTATTGGATGATAGGTTGTGATTTGGTGATTTTTGAGGAAATGTGTAAAACATACAATTTTCGCAATAAAAACGCAACTGTGCGAAATCTTCCGAAAACTCAAAATTCATCTGTTGGTGAACAAACAATGGACATGTAGGAATGTCAAATTTTTTAATAGATGATTAAATCATCTAGGAATGTCACACTATGCTCTGGAAGGCTTGCTTTGATTGTATACCTTGTCTGCCTGAAACATAGAGACTCGTAGGTATACTCTTGGGCATGCCCTAAGGACTCAGGCCTAGTGTGACAAGCTGAAGGAATTCGTCAATCTCTGTGAGAGATTAGGTTATCCGTAGACCGGTGAAATCGGGATGACATTTACAGGACTCGGGAATCTATGCATAGTAAAGAAGTCATGAGATAGCCCGCTCTTTAGAGTCCGTAAATGAAGATTTACGTTTCTACTATATGGATTTTTGATATATGGATGGACTTAGATGATGACTATATATATTTTGATGTAGTAATGATGTACGTCCAGATGAGACTATGATGTTATTCATTACTCGATATATTATGATGCATTTATGAAAGTTGATGTATGATTATACAATGGTTATAAAGTAAGGGCACAGAGCCCAATGCATAGGAACACATGGATGGATTCTAAGTTAAGTTATAAGTTATGCAACCAAACTCCTTTGGCATAGATGGTAAGGAGCATGGGCCCCTTAACCAGAGGTCTTGAGTTCGAACCTTGGGAATGGAAAAAATGATTTGGGAGAGCCACCCTCAAAAGGGTTTGACAATGCTCGATGGGGATTAGTCTTTGGTTACGGCTAGAGGATACCCTTGAGATTATTCAAAAAAAAAAAAATTATGCATGAATCATATTAAATTGTCTATCAGGCATTTATTGTGAAAGTGAGAATTATCCCCAATTATCTGAATACAACCAAGTGTTGTACGTTTTGTTTCTAAATGATGATGGTAAAAGATTACCACATTTAAGTAGTTAACTACCATCATTTGTGGTTAGAAGGCCTAAAGCCTCATAATTATGAACAAAAAGGATAAGGTTTCAAGTTTTGAGAATATGAGACATTGTAATGAAAATAGTAATCACTTAGAATAAGAATGAGATGAAATGTGTACACGAGATTAAGGAAAAACAAAAGCTTATTCACATATTTACACGAGATTAATTGTGACATTATAAGTTTAACTTCCGCATTATAGTTAATTATGTTGCTCTTCGTACCATATGCATGATAATACACTGACTGCAGACGGGGTGTTACAATTAAACTCTAGAAATTTTAGTTCACCCCCTCATCTCTTAAATTTTTAAAAGTTGTCCATAATTTTCAAAATTTCCTATTTTGTCCCATAAGTTCTAATTTCACTTGTATTTGGGTGTTACATAAGGTAGCAAGCATGCACCAATATTTCATAATTATACAATCACTAATAGCATAAACAAGATAAACAAGAATTAATTGAAATCCTGAAATTTGTGATAAGGTTGAGAGAAGTGCAAACTTTAATTTTCGTGGTTTGGTCACCACTACTTTTGACATAAGTCCAGATTCCAAGTCTTTTTGGTTGGCTGCTATTGGAGCATTTCAAAGACGTAGGCTCTTTTTTTGACCTTCTCCTTGACCTTGTACATGCTTTCACAATTAAGGGCTAGTTTTCCTTGCTTATCATTTTTGTTGCTATATTGCCTTTGCAAAGGACGAGGTAACCAACTTTAAATGATCTAGGCTTTACCTTTTAGTTGTTTCAAGCGGTTGCTAACCGTTTAACAGCCAAGTCTCATAGTCATATCATTGCTTGCTGCTTATCGAGGATGACCGGCTTAACATTGATTGTTTCATTGTTTGATCCCTCTAGAGCATGTGTCCTCCTCTAAGATAGTTTGTCGATCTCTAAGGGGATAATGGCATCATAGAAATAGGTTAGCTTGAAGGGGGTTTCCTAGTCACAGAGTGAGGGGTCGTCCTGTGTCCCCAAAACATGTGATTCAAGTGGTGGACCCAATCCCCTTTGACATCGTTTATGCGCTTCCTTAGTTTGTTGATATTATTTTTCTTGGCGACCTCTGCTTTCCCAATACTCTAATGGTTCTTAATTGAGGTAAAATATTGCTTAATATGAAGGTTAGTGATGAGCTCTTGGAACTTTATATTGGCATTTTCAATGATGACACTGGCTAAGATCCCCAAATAATAGATGATGTGCCAATATGTAAACTTCTGAATTTGGGCTGATGTGATTATTGTGAGTGGTTACGCCTTAATCCACTTGGTGAAATAGTCTACTACTATTATTGACTACTTCAATTCTCCTTCAATGGCATAAAATGGATCGAGAATGTCCATTCCTCACATGTAGAATGACCAATGAGATGTGGTGGTAGAAAGTTTTACAAGTGCAGCATGGTGGATCTCGACAAGCTTCTGGCACTTCTTGCATTTCTGAACGTGTTCTTTGGCATCAACTTCCATTGTAGGCCAATAGTATCCAAACTGGAGTGCCTTCTTGGGTAAAGATTTTCCTCCTAGATAATGTTCATGATGCCTTCATGTATCTTGGCAAGAACATACTCTGCCTACTTAGAGTTGAGACACGTTATCATACGGAGTGAAATCCTTTACGATACAATTTTCCTTCTGCTATGGAATACCAACACGAGCTCCTAACCAACTTCTTGGCTTTGAGGGATACATTTGGCAGCTCACCTTTTTCCAAGTATGCAAAGATTGGTTTTCTCTAGTCTTCTGCCTATGTAATGACCAAGATATAGCTCGACTCTCAATTTTTTTGCTACAAGCTTTGAAAGTGTATCAATCCTGCAATTCTTATTTCTGAGGATATATTGGATTATCGCTTCATTGAAGTCGACCAATAGCTCTGTATCTCGGCTAAGTTACTTGCCCACTAATGACCCTTTAGTGTGGCATTTTCCTTGTATCTAAAACGTGACAAGCTACGAATCAGTGGATATTTGTACTTTCCTAGATCTGTGCTTCTTAGCTTGCATCAATCCGATAATGAAGGCCTCGTACTTGACCTAATTATTTGAGGTGGGAAATTCAAGATAGAGGGAGTGATTAATAGCAATGCCTTTTGGGTTCTCCAAAATGATTATGGCGCCAATTCCTTTGGTGTTGAAGGATCCATCGACATCATGATCTATGTGTCATTTTGCTCCAGCTCAATTCTCTCTATGGATGTTAGCTCAACGAGGAAGTCGACCAAAGCCTGCAACTCGATAATGTGGCATACTATATGTTACTCGTACTTATAGAGTTCAATTTCCTATGTGGCATGCCTTAGGTTGCATTATCTTTGGAGTTTTAAAAATTAGGGAAAGAAGATAGAAAAATCTTATTCTTGATCTATACATCTTTTTTTTAAGATACATTTTTAATTTAAAAAAATTAATTTAATAAATCCTCATAGTTAAATTATTCATTTTAGTGCAAATTTTTTTTAATATTAGATTTTGTCTATTTTAAGAAGTTTGATTATATTTGAAAGGTTTAATTCTTTTTTAGTTAATACTGCAAAGTTAATTTAAAAGGTTTAATTATTTTTATTAAATTTTAGAAAGTAATTTGAAAGATATGACTCTGTTTTGAATAGAAATTTTGGAAAGTTTTTAAAATCGTGTTAACTTTGAAAAACATATTTAGATAAAAATTTTAGAGATTTCCCATGAAACTGGTGAAAGAGTTTATAAAAAACACATTGCGAGTCTTTATTCCTAACAATGCATTCAAGACAATTTGGCAACCAATGCTTCAACATATTCATTGAGTTATTTTCCTTGGTTTGATTTGTACCTATCGGTTTATTGATTAGAAGTGTGTACTATGCCCTAAAATATTCTTTTGCAATTTTTTATTGAATTTTAAATTATTGTCGGATTAAACAATAAGGAAGCAATTATAGAGTGATAATTGGTGACTTGTACTTAGAGACTTAAAGTTAAGCCAATTTTAGTACAATAACTATTAGTGGAATAGACAATATGAGAGTAATTATCTTGTGAAAATGGGGGACTTAATCTAAAATGTTAAGTTCAAGTGAGTGATATTAGTATAAGGGTATAACAAGTTCTATTCTTATATTTTTGAATTAAACTCATATCATTATATAGAATTATCTCTCAATTGAATAAAAATATCCAAATTGGGATTGTAGTTTCTTTTTTTCTTTTAAATTTTTTTCCATTCAACTAAAGTGAAATCTCTATACACTTTTCTTTACTCGTGAAAAATTTTAGGCTAAATTATATAATTTAAATAAACACAATTAATCTCCTCACACTATAACTTTATATTAATTAAGCATATTGAATAACTTCAATATAAAAATACCTCAATCTCATTATTTCCCTCCATTCTCCGGTAGTCACAAAGATCCTTCGACACACTATCCAACTCTTTCATGACGAGCTCTCATGTCAATGTAAGTATGACCAATTTGTGATTTAATATTGAGGATTAATTTTTTCATTTTACATGAGAAAATATTTTCATGTTACACACATAATATATACGTGAGGTTCACAAAAAAGTAAAAAGATAAAAAAGAAGAAGAAGATGAAATCCACCTTTTAATTATAAGTGTAACATGAGAAAATTTTCTCATGTAAAATGAGAAAATTATTTAAGTATAAGGTGGTTAATTGTTTCAATTCAAATTATAAGGTGGTGTTTTAAAATAAACCTAACTACAAAGTGGTTTTTATGTAATTTACTCAAATTATTATACTTAAATTGTATTTGTTTAATTGAATTTACCTGAAACCAAGGATGGAGTTGTCAACTTGTCATTTCACAGAGTACTTTATTTTCTTATGGAGAAAATACGCTGGCATCTCTCTCTCTCTCCCCTGCATTGTAAAAATTTACTTAGGAGTAAAGTTTCTTTTGGATCCTTAACAAAGAAATATGGTCTATATTTTTGTCCCTTACAAAAGAAAATATTCATATTAGTTCCTTTTCAAGGACTAAATTAGGTCTTCATTGAATTTTTGAGGAACCACATTTCCAAATAACTGAAATTGTAAAGGGATTAAAAATTGACTTTTTTGTGTGTGTAAAAGACGAAAGTGAAAACCATGTTTTTTGTCAGGGACCCAAAAAAATATTTTACTCTTTACTTATAGTTTCTCCATAACTGCATCGGCCATGTCTTCAACCGAGATTACTATTAAAACAAGTTAGATTTCCACGTGCTTAATATAAGAAATTGGGAAGGTATTTGTATATATTTCGAGAGGCAGGTAGACTAGTCAACCATTTTATGCAAATTCAATTCGGAAGAGTGACCATTTTGTCACATTTGGCAAAAAAATTTACGAGACTGTCACGCCAATAGTAAATTTTGCCAAAATGTCACGCTGCACCCTTAGCAGTCGTTGAAGAAGTCTGAAAATAATTAAGAGTTAAGATAAGATAAGATAAGATAATGCGAATTAGTTATATTTTCAGACTTCTTCAAGGACGGCTAAGGATGCAGCGTAGCATTTTGGCAAAATTTACTGTTGGCGTGACAGTCTGAGAATTTTTTTTGCTAAATGTGGCAAAATGGTCACTCTTCCATTCAATTCTGCGTAGTAGCTTATGCATTTATATGATTTATTGTCTTGTTCTTACGAAATCACTTGGAATTGTAAAGAGTTAAGAAAACAGTAAAAATGTCCCAGCTAAAGTTAGCAGGGTTTTGCTAGCAATCTTAGGCAAGAGCCCAAGAGTACCTAAGCTAGCATCACCACAATCCTCTTCTCCCAGTTCATCCTCACCGATTTTAGACTCAAATGTTACTACTAAAGCACCGCTAACACAATCATGCTAGGGACCAGCTCCGTAGAAAACCAAGTTCGGGTGCATAAGAGCATAATCATGTACAGATTGATGAAAACCTTCCAACTCAAAATAAATCCCAGTGTACATAATCATTATTATAAAGGGGCAAATCTCAAACGCTTCAGAATGATAAAAAAATCTGTACTAATTAACCATAATGTATGATGTATCTAATTAGTATACACTACAAAGAATAAAACTCAGTATCTTCTATCTAAAAGTACATGTGAAATTTTAAAAAGCAAAAGATTTAAAAAAAAAGAGAAAAAAAAAGAATCTAAAGAATGATAAAAAGAACATGCTTCAAGATTTTTGGGTAACAAAGCCACGATTACAACAAGGTGCAGGCCTTGTGATTTCCTGATAACTTTTACAACTCCTTGTGTAATTGTGCCCTCCTGATCTTATAACATGTTCCGGCAATCTCAAAGTATATTTATCATAATCTTTTTCTTCTTCTCCTCCTCCTCCTCTAATCATAACTATAGAATGTCCCGTTGAGTGTGACCTTGTAATAAAGTTTTCTTCTTGCTCTTGCTGCGGACTAATACTAACAGAAACCGGGTGATTGCAATAACGTTCATGTTCATGTTCATGTTCATGTTCTTGTTCTTGTCTTTGATCTCCAGCACTCACACCATCACCTTCCCCTTCTCTAACATTAATGCTTATGTCATGATCACTGGTTAAGGACACCATGCTGCCTTCTACATGATGACACTCACAGGATTTTCGCATTTGTTCTGTTGGTGAATCAAGTTCCGTTCGACAAACGGGGCATGTCTTGTGGGAACTAAGCCAAAGGTCAATGCATTCTTGGTGGAAGACATGGCAGCAAAAGGTCAAGAGGCGAAGCATGCTATCATCTTCGAATTCGAGCAAGCAAATGGCGCATTCAAGGCTATACTTTTCCTTTCGGAGGTCCTTCACGGAGGAATAGAGAAAGGTGGGGAACACTTGCAGCAATGAAGGATCAAGGCCTCTAGGTGGAGACCTATTTGGTGAAACACGATTGAGGGTACCTGAGGCAGTGCGTTGAAACGCCCAAGTGTGGATAACGCTTACAAAATAATACTTGCACAAATAGATAATGCTAAAAGCCACGAAGCAGAGGACAAGGATGGCAATGGTGAACGCTATCAGTGCTGGTGGTGTGTTGTACGGTGCGGCCGGCGTTGTGTTTATGTCCGGTGTCGGCAAAGACATTGCCGTATTGAGAAAGGGTGGTTGCTCAACAATGGCCTACCATCCTTGGTTCTTTGCATGGATGAGAGAAGTTTGAGAACAACAAAGGTTGGGAGATAGGATATACAATGAAGGTTGGTAAAGTGGTGACCACTTTCCTATTTTTTGTTTTGTTTTTTTTAAGGAGGGATTATAAGAGACAAAATGTAAAGAGAGAATCAAGGAGATATGTCATGGTGTCCTGTGAGTGCAAGATGATGGGTTAATATGAGATGGTGATGTGGAGGATTGGTTTTTAGTCCTTGGTAGGAAAGATTGGTTTTGAGCGAGTCCTTATGAAAATGATGAGGGCTAACGTCCGAACATTATTTAGGATGCATTTGAATGCATGAAAAAATCTAGACTTTTGTGTGTATGAAAAGTCATTAGAATTATTAGATTATATATATTATCCTGCATGAAATGAAAGATAATTCTAATATAGTTCAAAACGGATGTGCGAACTTTTGTAAGATTAAAGGATTATGTGGTTAAAAAGACTCCACCGTTTAGCCCAGGATACGAGAAAAGAATAGGCCAACAATTAAAAAGAGACCGACTCCTCCCCTGAGAAGAACTCGCCACTGATGCATTGAAATTGTCAAAACTTTTGAGTCATTCCGGCCCAAAAAATCATTTAGGGTGAGATCATTTTGGAAATTCTAAACGCATCAAAAAGGGTGTTTTAATTGCAGCACTACAATGAGATCCATTGTTCGGTAACAATCCTAATGAATACGTTTTAACAGGAGAGAGAGAGAGAGAGAGAGAGAGAGAGAGAGAAGGGTAATTAACCCTTATGGGCAAAATCTGATGCAAATACAAGGAGGCTGATGCTACATTCAGACGCCAGAGAACAAACGAATTAAGATGAATCCTCCTCCAAACACAAACGCACAACAAAAGAGTTATCCGTGAATCGAACAGCTATTAAAGTTAGCTAATAGAATAAGATGGGAACGGAAATCTTGGCGTGTTAAGCTACATGGTAATACATAGGGGGGTAATGTAGGCCCTCATTAGCCATTTCCCTCGTTTCCAACACTGGGGAATATAACTCTATTCGATGTCATCAATCCAATCACCATATATCTTACTGATTTTATCTGGACCTTTCCACTTCTGATGAGTTCTCTGTCCTGGCCTCTGATTCACAATGGAAGGCCTTTGTGAAGGGACACCAATATGATAAATATCAGAATGAGCAACAGGAGTAACTGATGCAACCACATTATCAGCAGGAGTTTTTGAAGGTACTCCTTGTTTTGTGTCAGGAGCTACAGGGGAAGCAGTGTCTCTATTTTCTCCCTCCATAAGCCCACCTCCATATCTGTGCAATTCTGTGGTCATAATATCAAAAATCAGATTTGCATGAAAATGGATTACACGGTACATTCTGACAGATAAATATTTTAAGCCAATAAAATGCTGGTATGTGCAAACATCAAAGAAAATGTTCTCGAATGTAATGGACAGGGCCAATTAAACACTGGAATCTGAAAGTATGAAATGGTGTTACAATCATTCCCATGCAGACATTCAAGTAATGGGGATGGGCATTTAGAAGTAACAATAAGTACTCAATGATTAAATATAATCTTTCCCACACAAATGCATTTTCAATGAAACTTTGCTAATTATATTCACTAATAGATTAAATATAATCTTTGCCTCTGCTTCCGACTGTTGTTATCATGTCATTTTTTTATTTTTTTAAATCAGAAAGCAAACCCCGATACAAAAGGTTCCCCAACTTGCAAAGGTAGGGGCGAGGGTCAATTGTGTGTAATCTTACCCTTGCATTTCTGTAAAGAGACTATTTCCAAGACTCGAACTTGTGACCTTCTGATCACTAGCAATAACCTTACTACTACTCCAAGGCTCGCCCCTATTCCTTGTAAAAGTTATTGTGCCAGGTAATTAATTGTTACCATACCTTGTATACGATGATTAAGGTTGAAAATAGGTTGCTAAATATAATTCATCGGCTGCATTTCTCGTTTCTCAACTACATTGTTGTGCTCTCCTATCATAAAATGTATCATGAGAGATAATGCTGTTTTAGTTGGAGAGAAACTAATGTTTCGGTGCTAAACTAAATCAGTTTCTTCTCATTTAGGTCTTGCTTCATTTGTAAGTATCTCAAAGGAAAGATTGTTAGCATGTATATATTTTAAAGAAGTTTCCTTTCCTTTAAAGTGGCTTTCACTGCCTACTAAAAAAAAAAAAAGTGGCTTTCACTGTGTAAACAGAAGTTGCCAAAATTTGCGTCAGTGTAATCTTTGATTGCTTCCATTCCATCTACATTATATCTTTCTGAGAGCTATAAAGATTTAAGCTGCCCTCTATTCATTCTGAACCTACCAATTAGGAAGCTATGCCTTTCTCATCTCTTTCAAACAGGGATTTTATAATCAGAAAAAGGAACCTTAGATATTAAAGCATACAAAGAATAGGAAAAGTAACTGTAATCTCAAACAAGGAAACGCGTGGTTAAGTGAAGAAAACTTAAAGAAAGAGAAATACAAATTTCCACAGTTCAGTCTCAAAACTCTTCTCTGCTGTAGATTTTCATTGTACAAAAAAATAAAGAACCATGCCTTTCTCTGATCATAAATATGTTTCTCTAGTATGCAAACTTGCTGTAATAACACATTGCAAAGATTACTCAAGTTTCCTAATGGCAATTAAAAATGAGATAAGATCATAAGAGTAAGATCAACACACGCTTCAACGATATGCTTAATGATACACATATATATCATATTATCAAGCTTCTTAGTATCGACCAAAACAAATTGACACTTTTCATGCCCTGTTCTTTAAAGAAAAAGTGCGAAAATTATAGCAGTACAGAGTACTGACCACATAAAACGAAAAAACTCAATCTAACACAAAGCATTTGAGTTTCCAATTCTAGTATCATTTAATTCAAGACACAATGATCTCCTCAATCATCATTTCAAAAAAAGAAAAAAAGTCTTCACTCCAAATCACACTAAGAAACTAAACAAAAATCCAAAAATAAAAATTATCTTTCTTTAGCTGAAGCATTACCTCTTTAAAAGAGTGAAAGAAAAACAGATCATACCTGTAGCACCATGAGCAAAATGGCATTTGTTACCAAACGGGCAATACCCTGTCATCTCCCATTTATTGCAAATCCTCGTTTTCCAATTAGAAGGCTTTAAATTAGATCCATTTCCACCACCAGTAGCAGCAACAGGAGCAGCAGCACCACCACCACCACCACCACCATTACCACCACCACCACCGGTACCATTACCACCACCGCTGCCGCCACCAGCATAACCACCAGGGCCTAAACTTATAGCCACGCTCTCGCGATTCTTGGATTGCTCATCATGAAGAAACGTGCAACTATCCCCATAGGGACACCCTTCCTCCGTGTAAAACTTCTTGCAATGCCGGCCCTTATAAGACCGCTGCATCGCCTCACCCGCGAAACCCGAAGACCCGAGAGTCGGAATCTGGAACTCTTCCCTCGGCTCCAACATAATCACGGCCTTCTCCTCCTCATGTGCCGCCACGATTTCCTGCCAATTCGGCGGTGGACGGCGGAGCTCCTCGATACTATGGGCGAAATTGCAGTTAGTTATATAGGGACAGGTCCCAGCACGGAACTTGCAGCATAGTTTGGTCTTGAAGAACATCTTCCCAATCGCCTTCGACCTGTTATTCGAACTTCCATCTTGTGAATTCCGAGATTTCTTGCTCGGTGGCTCGCTCCCCGACCTCGACGAACCCTGTCTCGGCTCGTAACTCGAGTTCGACGGCGTCGTTTCGGAATCGCCGTTGTTGTTCCAGAATCGATATTCGTCTTCCGTCGCCCAATCGGCCTGGTCGCCGCCGGACCAGCTTTCTCCTCCGCCGTTGATTATTTGAACAACGTTCCCTTCTCGACCGTAATCCATTATTACAAAGAAAGCGAAGAAGCCCTAACGGGATTTTTATATCAGATTAAAAAATTGTTTTTTGTGTGTGTGTGTGTGTGTGTGGTAAGGCAGGAAAACTAAACTAACTGACTTAACTCCTACCTAGGAGTATCCGAACGCGGAGATTTGAAATACAGAGTTGAAGGAAAAACAAGATTAATACGAAAAAAAAAAATGGGAACTTTGAAACAACCATAACATCAAACAGTGGCGGCACTGAGGAAAGAGAGTTACTGAAAAAGCTAGATCTGTGGCAACGGCAGTGGTAAAAAGGAAAATTATAAGGAAGGAGGGAAAGATGTTTAGAAAAACAATCTGGGGCGAAGATTCAACTTTTAGGTAGGAACTAGAAGGAAGTGCTTTTTAGAGAGAGAAAGCGAATGAGATCTCGGAATTTCATTACAAGGGATATATTTTCCATTATGAACGGATTGCTAGGCTAATTATTTTTTTAATTCTTTTTTAAGGCAATTTTTCTCTCCCAAATCGTGTAAAAGATAGTGAAATAGTTGACCACTTGGCAATTGGCATTATGATCCGGATGCGAACCTCTCAGTCTCACTAGTTTACAAATTAAGGATGGCTCTACACGCATTTTTTTTTTAATTTTTTTAATGAGGTTATATTTATAAAATATTTTCTCATATAAATCAAAATTAAAACAACGGCACTTACTCAAAAAAAAAAAATTAAAACAACGGCTTATTATTTTATAATCATTCATTTGATTTTTATCTAAAAGTAATAAAAAGTAATTATAAAAGGTTGTAAAAATATATTTTTTTTTTAACTTTTAATAACAACGAGTGTATGGAAAATAAAGTATCAGTGTTTCGTTCTGGATCATCATTCATATTAAATTAAGAGAAAAATATTTCTGCAGTTAATGCAGATAATTTATCTGTATTTATTTTCAAAACGACGTCGTTTTTGTTGGGTTTAATATGCTCTTTTCACTTAAGCCCAATAGCTTTAGTGAGAGTGAGCCCAAAAAGACTAATTTCAACCCATGAAGCTTAGGGTTAGTCTTGGATTGGGCAAAGTATATAAACTCTCTTTTCTCTCTAGTGCCTCCCAGGGTTACAGACATCAGAAACACAAAGAGGCAGACGTTCATCATCTGAACGGTTGGCCACACGATCACTTGATCCCCCTTGAGTCATAGCCCGGAAGATCAACCGTAGAGCGGAATTGCGACCGTTCGTGGTGCGTTGCTGCAGATCGTGAGGCTTGAGGAGGAGAACAGAACGTGAGAAATTGTCACGCTCGCTGCTTCATCTCAGGTAATCAAAGCGGTGTTCTTCATTCCTCATCACATCGGTACGATGCGCTTCCGCGTTTCTGATGATATACCTTCAATTGGTATCAGAGCCGGATTGTGATGGGGATTTAAATCAGCTTTGATTTATTGATTTATTTTTGTGATTTTGAAGATATGGCACCTTTATTCTGTATCTGTTGTTGATACTCATGTTTTAATTCTTTATAGTTCATTTTCATAAAAGTTTAGATTTTAATCGGTAAAAATGCTTTAATCCATGGCTAGGGTCTCTCGTGTATTTCTCGATTTGTAACAAGGAGGCTAATCCCATATGATTAGGTTTCCTCCTTGCTTTTTTTTTTTTTTTTAATTTTTCGGAATTTTTGTGTATTTTTCAATATTTTGTAAAAATTCAAGATCGAGAAATCGCGAGGAAGATGCGCAGTCATCACTGTCGGAGACTTTTAGAGGACTTCCCGATCTCAGAACGAGGCTCTCTATATATGGTTGGAAAGAGGACAGAAAGACGAACGTAACGGTGGGTGGATCGCCGCCATCAGAGACTCCACGCTCCTCCACGCGCCTCCACAAGAGGCTGAGAGTGGCCGCCACTCTCCGGCAAAGAATGGGAGAGTGAGGGAGCGTCCGGCCACCTTTTTGGGTGGTTCCGGCGGCGGTGCACTCGTCTCTATGTGGCGGTCCTTCCCCTGGAGTTTAGGCCTGAGTTGAGTTCGGGTGACGGCGCGGCAGACCTGACGGCTAGGGTTCCTCTTTCACGTTCTAGGGTTTCTCGCCAAAGGATTGGGTCTTTGGGCTTTTGGGCCAATGGAAACCCTAAAGGAGCTTGAGACAGATACTATGGGCTAGGCGAAAGTTGAATTCCAAAGTTGTAATTTTTTATTTTTATTTTTATATTTTATTTAAAATAGGAAGACCATGGATTAAAGTAATTAGGATTTATTATTTAATGCTTTTATTGAATGGTATGAATTATATGTGCGATTAACATGATATTTGCGATAACATGTCATATAGGATAGGAAGGTGCCATATTGCTGCATGATCACATGTCATACGTGCATATTTACTATTATGTCATTACTGACTAGTATGATTGTATATGCGCGTAGTTTTTGATTTTAAATACTCCGGTAAAATAAAATTATGATTATTATGATTTTGGAAACAAAATCTAGATTAATGGTTATATTAATTTCGAAAATTAATTTAATTATTATGATTTTGGTAAAATCTAGAATAATCAAATTGATTATTTTTGGAGTTTAAAATCAAGACAATTAGTAAGAAAATTTCCTAAGAGAATTCTTTTATTTTGCGAGTAATTTGTGGGTCTACTAAAATGGTCATGTGTTAAACACACGCTGCATACCACAATCATGTATCATGATTGTGTGAAGCACACGCTGCCTATCATGATCGGATTTTAGGACCTTAATGATTTCAAAATTCAGATAAGCTAAGTGATGCACGTTCATCAGCGCTCTTGCTTACATAGTTTTTGAAATCAAACAAAGGATACTCTTAATTAAATAATTCTTAGAAATTGGAAAATATTGCTTATGTTGAATGGAAGGAGATTTAAATTAAGAAATTAATTTAACCTTCAAGCGCATTATAAGGACCATTAATAAAATAATCATGTGAAGTCCCATCGAATAAGCATGATTGGATTTTATTAGATTGGACCTAAATAATTACAGAAGGAGATTTAAATTAAGAAATTAATTTAACCTTCAAGCGCATTATAAGGACCATTAATAAAATAATCATGTGAAGTCCCATGGAATAAGCATGATTGGATTTTATTAGATTGGACGTAAATAATTATAGAAGGAGATTTAAATTAAGAAATTAATTTAACCTCCAAGCGCATTGTGGGCCTATCAATAAAATAATCATGTGAGGCCCCAACGGATTAACATGATTGGATTTTATTGGGCCTTAATAATTTCAAAATTTTAATAAAGTATTGTACGACCCATCGTCGATAATACTAAGTTATTAAAGATAATTCTGAAATTAAACAATGAATTCGACAGGGCTTATGAAAATTCTCAAATAAAAATGTTGAATGGGTGAAGGTTTTAAAAATTAATTAATTTTAAAACCTGCGGGCTCCATTTGTGGGTTTATTAGTGAAATGGTTATCGCTGAAGCCCCATCGGATAAGGATAATCAGATTTCACTAGATTAAATCTTAATAATTTCAAAATTTTAGTAAAGTATTGTACGGCCCATCGTCGACAATGCTTAAACACTAAGGATAATTTTGAAATTAAACAATAGTTAATTACATTCAACTTTGGTAAAATTGTTAACCCTCCCATCGAGGCTCTGGCAATGGCACTGAAGGCCCAAATAACAATTTTGGTTTTTACAAGTGACTTGCCCATCGTAAGCCTTGTAAAGATAAACTGAAGGATTGTTAACAATAAACAAGAAGTAGTTATGAGAATCTACTTGCACTTCGTTTGTTTATTGCATTATTTGTTTGTAATTGTGTGCTTTATATGTTTTTCAGAAAATATCTTAGAAATGATTTTGAGCCGAAAACTTCTAGATGGTACCAACTATGAATAAGTGAAAAGCAAATTTTTGATATTGTTCTAAAACATGGAAGCTAAAATTTGTCCTGACAATGCGAGGGCCATAGCAACCTGTAGAGGATGTGTCTAAGGAAACTAAGATGCATTTCTCAGATTGGGAAAGGGCAGATATGGTAGTTCGCTGCTATGTTATTGTCAGTCTTTCCAAATACTTGCAGAAGCAAGTGTACATGATTAAGAGTGGAGTAGAAATGCTTCAGACTCTTAATGACATGTTTGTTGCGTCTAGCAGTTCTGCTAGACAGAATGCAGTCAGTGCAGTTTTTGCTAAAAGTCTTGTTAAATCCAAAAGGAAAAACCCAAGGGTGGTAACAAGAACAAAATGACTTGGTTATCAGTTGTCAAACCAGTTGCTATGAAGAAGCTGCAAGGCAAGTTCTTCAAGTGCAGACTGAAGGGATACTGAAAGAAAAATTGCCCAGAGGTGATGAAAAGAACCAGACATGGGCATATCAAGGCCTGATCAGTGAATGAATTATTGATTCAGGAATCACTGATTATGTTTGTTACTCTTTGTAGTAGTTCAAACATGGCATACCTGTCAGCAATGGACATAGATATTTTAAGCTTGAAAATGGGAACTTGTGTCTGCATTTGCAGTAGGACAAGTTATTTATAAGACTATGGTTTTGGGTGACTGTTTATTTGTTCCGGATTTCAAGAGGAATTCAATTTTTGTTAGTTGTTTTGGTTAAAACATGGTTTGACAATGCAATTGATTCCTCAGTTACATTTCGAAGTTCATCTTCGTCTTGTTTTGTTCTGGTACATTGTTTAAATAGTCTTTATTACCTATGTCCTATACCCTTTTTAAATTTGTTATGTTGAATGGAAAGGATGATGAACAAGGATTTTCACCAAAGAAATAAAAGTTTCAAATGAAACATAACTTTGGCCTTTGTGATTGAGTCATATTATCTCAAGTAGGAAAAATGTTTTAGTTAAAAGAGGGACTGAAAGTTCAATAATCTTTTAACTAACAGCTACATGTTAGTCCTATTTGGAAGGTAAAGTGGCCAAGCAATCCTACAAGGGCCAAAAAGGTTTGCGCAACTATTCAACTGGAACTGGTACATACTAATGTATGTGGACCAATTAGCGTTCAGACCAGAAGAGGTGATGATTACTTCATTATATGAATGTTTACTCTGGATTTGGACAGATGAACCAAGTGCGCTATAAGTCTAAAACTTTTGGAAATTTCCAAGAGGTTTAGTCTGAGGCAGAAAAGCATGTAGGTGTTCAAATCAAAACACTTTGGTCTACTAAAGTGTTTGGCTACCTGTCTGGTAATTTCAGGTCTTACCTGATTTAAGAGGGGATAGTTTTCGTAACTGTCAACTCTAAGAACGCGTTAGTTGAATGAAGTTGCAGTATGCAAAAATCAAACATTTCTAGACTTGGTGAAGATCATGTTCAGTTATTCATCTTTGTCAATGTTGTTCAAGGGAGATGCCTAAGAGAAGGAAATCTACCTTCTTAACTTGGTTCCGTCAAAGTTTGTTGTAAAGACACCTAAAGAATTATGG